CCAAAGATGGCAACCTTGTTATGTTTCGCGCAAAAATTGTCTTTGCTCTGCCGGCTATGACCCCTTGAAGCCTCAAGAAAACCTACGATGTCGTGGCCTCCTCTCCGGATCCTCCACTAGACACATGGAGTCCCGTGCGACATTGTCAACAGTTAGCAGCGATCTTGTAGCCTTGTGGCGTCACCGTACAATCAGCTGGAAGTATCAGCGAACTTCACTACAATTAGCTGGCAGCTGCACCGTCAATCCTACGCTCGGTTGTGGAAACTGTATCAAGTGACAGGCGTGGGGAAAAACGTGCTTTGTTGACATGTTATAGGTCGTAGAGCTATATGAAGGTGTGAGAGAAATTCATAAATGTCTGGTGCATATACTGATGATTTTCTTGCATGGTTTGCTTTCTAGACTTAAGTAATGCAGACCGCTTCACTGAGTGCGAGGTCTGCGCCGGTATTACCCTTTTGTTGATGGTCAGAGAAACGAGTCGGCACTTCTCATCACTTGTATAGGACTTAACTGCTCGCAAGAAGTATCTTGATATTTGTCCACTCGCTTGAGTTTCAGCTTTATCTTCAGTCACTACTTCTTGCACTGTGCGGCTGCGGCACACTGATGAGAAGCGGCCTAGTCGTCCACACTTCTAACATGTGTTCCCGTTAGCTGGATACTGCCCTCCAGTGGGGGTGGTGAATCCACAGCGACCGCACGGGCTTGTTTTCTTCCAGTTTGGCTCAGCTGCTTTGCCCCATGGTTTGCTTGCCTGTGCCTGGTTGGCGGGACACCTCGGTCTGTATCCATTGTTGGTGCGAACAGTGCACACCTCAGGTTCCTTTCCGCACAACAGCTGTTGGTCCTTTTGGGCTGAATCCTCCAGGGCTGCACTCTTAGTTGCTTGTCGCAAAGTTAGGTCAGGGTGCTTCAGGAGCTGCATCACAGTTGATGTCTCACTGAGACCCATACACAGTCTGTCCCTGATCATTTCATCAAGGTTTGGGCCTAACTTGCACGCTGCAGCTAGGGTGCGGAGAACTGAGACATATTGCAGGACAGTTTCACATGGCTAATAGGCTCTCTTATGAAAACTGTACCTTTCCACAATTGGGTTTTTGGGGAGATACAGAAGTTATCAAACTGATCTATGATCTTCTCCAGGCTATTGACATCTTCATCTCCCTCCCAATCAAAATGGGAATACTCTTTTTGGGCGGAGAGGCCAGCACAGTTGAAGAAAATGTCAGTTTTCACGTTTTCTTTCTATCAAGCTCATTGACATAGAGGAATTGCCAGTCCTGCTTCCATGTGCGCCGAGCAGTAGCAAGGGCTGGATCAGCCAAATTCAACTCAGGGACTCTTTGAAGGAAAACATTGCAAATGGCTCAAGGCGAAACCTGTGCGGACCACGCGGCGCCTGAGTGAAATTATTCGTCTACAATGACAATACTTTCTTGAAACAGGCCAACAGTGAGACGTGGCGACTGCGTATTCTGACGTCATGTCTTGCTATCAGCTCATCCAACCCTTCTCCGTTCCGGATCACAC